GTATGATCCAGTAATGAGAGAGACGTGTTAAAAACAAGCAAACGTCAACATCTTATCTTTCTCCTAGAAAACCAAAATGAGTTTATAAATCTCATGGCTTCACATGTGCGAAATTATTGTTTGTCAGCAATTCGTGGAAATAAATACTATGGTATTCTGTTTGATTCCAAGTCAATGTCAACAAACTGAATCACTTGGGCCAATTGCTCACGATGGGCTAAATCAGGTGTTTAAGACAAGAAAAGTAGAAGTCAAAGAGTCATTTATTGACTTTATACAGATAAAGGAAAAAGACGCTGCTAATATTGAGAAAACAATAAGCACAAAATTAGAAGCGGATGGAATTTTATTGAGTGATTGTTGTTCACAATGTAATGATAATGCTGCTGTCATGTCAGGTCATCTGTCAGGCATTCAACAAAGAATTCTGAACAAAAATCCAAAAGCAGTGTTTATAAACTGTGACAAACATAGTTTGAACTTAGCATGTCTTCATGCTGCAAGTCAGGAAACAACAGTTATTACCTTTTTTGGTATAATTGAAGCCATTTATAATTTCTCTGCTCATTCAACAACTCGATGGGATGAACTGCAGCAGGAGCATAAGATCTCTGCCAGGCGTGAATCAGAAACACGGTGGAATGCAAGAGAAAAGGCAGTAAAAGTTGTACATAAAAAACAGGATGAATTGCTAGGACTGTTAGAGCAATTAAGTGAGAATGGCAACACGGCTGAAACAAAATGTGGTGCTCATAATATTAAGCAACGCCTGCTTACATTTGATTTTTTTGTACTTTTGCATTTTTGGAGAAATATTTTATCATGTATCAATCGAGTGCAGAAACGTCTTCAGGACCCAAAAATGAATTTTAGAGAAGCAGCTGCTGATCTTGATTCTTCGAAAGAGAAATTGATAGAATCACGTGAAAAGTCCTGTCAAGAAGTACTTAAAGTGGGCAAGAATCAACGTGAAACAAGGGGATTGGCCATTGAAAGAAGAAAAATACGTCGTAAACGAATGCCAGGTGAAAATGCAGCTGATGCTGTATTGACTGCTGAACAGGAAATTTATCGCATCATGAAGGATGTTATTGATTGCTTGATCACAGAAATAACAGAAAGATTTTCTCGCTTACTAGATTTAGATTCACGGTTTGGATTTCTACTAGATGTGCAAAATATTGTTTCTGGAGATTTTGAAGACAGAAAATTGCAAGAAAAATGTTCTGACTTAGCAAAGAGCTATCCAGGCGATATTGATGGACCAGAATTGTACAGAGAAATTAAAGACTATAGAATGTTGATAAGTAAAAGAACAAAGACCGATTTTCCCGAACCAATGGTTGCAACTGATTTGTAAACTAACAAAATTTGTTATTTGTAAACTTAAGTAGTATTTATCAATCTGTTTATAATCCACGTACACCACAAGTGACTGCTTCTCATATAAAACATAAGTTCAAAACTAGGATATAACAGAAATTAATC